CCGTGAGCGGCTGACCCTGCCGCCCTACATCTCGCGCTCATGTACTCTGGCGCGGAGCGCCTCCCGGTATTCTACAAATGTTCGTTAAAACTATTGTTGTCGTTCTATGTAGATCTTTTACACCAACAGAAAGATTTTCAATAAAGGGTGTATACACGATATTAAACATTCGAGAAAACGTGATGTATGTATACCAATAGTCAATCTACGGAGATGAATTGTAGTTAATAAACTTGATAAATTCATCATTGGTACAGAAGAGCATTTGTCTAATTTATATGAATTTTCATAACAAAACATTATATGGAAGTCGACAATTAATTAGACGAAGTAGTTGTGAGCATATCTTGTACTAATATACAAAAATTATAATTTTAAGCACCATCGTATTATAAGATTGTTTATCACATGTAAATATAAAATATCCTCAAGAATTCAAGAGATAATTATCTTCTTACTTAAGTTAAATAGACTCCTTCAATTTCGAGATAATTAAATGGATTAGATGGTGTAACATCAACTAATAAATGTGGTTCAATATCGATCAGATGAAAACGTTGAAATAATGTTGTTTGATGATATTTTATAGATAGTGAAACGATTCACTATCCATCAATAGCATTATTGAATATGACACGTAATGAGACAAATCGAGTTCCTATTAATTTTAAAACATTTTGACAAAGATTACTGAACATCGATAATAACATTATTGAATCATCAATATGAATGTGCCACAAATATTCATGCATAACGATTCTTGAAAATCGTTTATTCAATGATAAAAATTCTTGAAGAATGTCAATAGGAGACAAATAACCAAATATCTCGAAAAGAATATCTACAGATAACAATTCAAAGATGCTAGCATTCATTTTATTCATGTGCCTTATTCATTCATAAGGAATCGTATCTATCGATATGTATAAATTATATACGTCCGTCTATTTTGTTAGACGAGCATTGTTTTCCTAATTACTCACTTTTATTCTTTATGAATGGATCTCAGCTACAGGAAAGAAGAGAACAGAAACATTGCTAGTTATTCAATATATGTTTGAACGATTCAAAAATGTCATTCTTTTGTTGTATGCATACAAAATATATAAAAAACTTGAGGGTTTAGGTATGTGGATGAGTGTGAGGGTGTGGGTAGTTGTCGATGTATCTGTTAATATTCTCTTCATCCACACCCACACCCAGTGAGAAGAAAAACATAAGCATCACCATATATGTGTGAAATTATTTCGACGTCATACCAACTACTAACGCAATATTGTTATAGATATAAGCTGATCACATCCGATTCTTTCAACGCCAATGATTGATTTTTGGTCGAGTTTTACTTAATTGATAGATGAATTCATCACAGATCAAAATCCGATTGCGTTTGTTCCTGCTCGAAAAGCTGAGAACATGAATGACTAACATAATAGAGACACAAAACACCAATTACACTAGAGGGATGAAATAAAATAATGTGTCCATTGTTTTAGTATGATAGTGCGCATACGAATGACGTGCTTATAGAAAGTCAAAAATTTCGTTAGTTGAGAAAGAAAGAAACAAAACCAATTAAGTTTCACACTCTGACCAACATGTACAAAGTAGTGAAAGAGAAGAAAATGCACATCTGTATGCTAGGTCACTGTTCTGTATTATGATAGAAATTTCTACATTTTTTTGTTGATATTTTGCTTGTCGACAATGTGACATCTCGCCGCTTCTATGATAAATACTTCCAATGCATTTCCGATAAGCAAAAACAAACTAATAATATTTTTCTATCGTTCATTTCATTAACGCAAAAAGAATCGTTGAAAAATATTTTATTTGGAATTTCTTTTCAACTGGATCAAGGATTGTCTATAGTAAAAGAATGACTATGGATAGCAAATACATATTTAATCCGAGAGTGATTACACAGCAATGAATGTCTTATATGGTAAATTTTTGATCACATAGTTAAAATGATGATGTTCTCTGTAATACATAACGAATTTTCATGATAATAAATTTCCATTTTGTTGTCGTTTTGACAGAATTAACTGCTGGTTTCAAATAAACAAGCGATACATATATCATTATGGATGAAGTATTATCTGAGTACACAGACAAGTTTTTTTAATATTGGTACCGAGAACTCCGTTTTCAATAGTCCTGATCATTGTTCTAGTAAATCTGATATAGTCCCAGTTCGGATGCCTTTTCGTTTTTTGGGGCCCCAATCTCAGCCTTGTTCTCGTTTTAGAGAAAATTTCATTCACATTAAATCTACAAAAATATCTTGAATTCATATTTGTTAGTTTGTTCAGTCGACGAATATTACTTTTTTTTATATAATCTCTTCTAAATTTTGCTGTTATTAATGTCATCTTTCAGAGATATGCGATTAAAATCATAGAACTTTTAAATAGAATCTTTAATTCCAGATTGAACAACTTATTTTCTCGTAGTTCTGGTTCCGTACATTTTTTTCTGCGACGCTTTGGATAAGTAGCAACACATTTTATTTTAAAGTGTGGATAGATTGCTCATTTCTAGATGAATTAATCCTTTAATATCCCGCATGCCATCTACCAGATGACATGTAGTATTTAAAAGAAATTTGTTGCATTCTGTCGCCTTCCTTAGACAACGAATATCATATGATGTCTTCAAAGAGAAATCATTTCTTATGACTGTCGATAATGAATCTAAAGTTGGAACACAGATGATTGTGATAACTGAACGCAAGAGAGAGAGAGAGAGAGATTCAGCTATCCTTCTTCGTCCGCGGATGCAACGCACGCAGATAGTGATATCTGCATATATGTATATAAATAGCAGTTCAATTTTGTACAGACATTCTTATCTAAGTAAATGACTGATAATACGTGAATAGAAGTGTGAGTATCAGCTTTCAAGAGTAGAAACCTGTATCTATACAAATAGATATTGTAACCCATAGAGTAGTGTATACCTGAAAAGGTACTCATATTATACCGACATTTGCGGATACTTATATGCATAACAAAAGCGTATTTTGATCAAGTATTTTGACGGCATTTTTTGAAAATGAATATTTAATCAAATATGGTGAGTTGGGTGTAGGTCAGCGGGTGTGTACGTGGTGTGAGTCTTCTATCCATTCACACCCACCTACATCCTCATTTTGTAAAATTACACTTTCATTAGGATTTATGCATATTTTAATTAAGTTTCACAAGATAAATCCCTAGAAGCCTCTTTCCATATATGTTTATGAGAGGTATCATTAAATAACTATTTTGTTGTATTATCTTCTTAAAATTTGATATATCAAGAACAGCTCGATTTTTTTTTCTTATGATTTTTTGAATATTGTATTTCCGAGAAAATAGAAATTCATCAAAGAATTTTATTGGTGTTCCTAGAATATCTTTTTCTGTTCTCTATAAATGATTTTCTATTTTACCGTTTTTCGAATTCGAAGATTGAATTCATTGATTTGAATTATTAAAACATTCAACTTGAAATATTCTAATCTTATTCTGATTTTATTCTTTAAATTTATTGAAAGAATACAGAGACCTCTTTCATCGAATTCTGGTCTTCTATTTTCATTGGTCCTCACTGAATATGGTTAAACTATTCTGTTTTGTCTTGTCAATTCTTTTTTCCGTCACATACGACTTGATTAAGGTTGGAAAAAAATCAGATCTATTCCGTTTCATATAGTGGCGTAACCAGATGGGGGCTAGAGGGGGCTCAGCCCCCTCTACGGAGGCTTGAGTCCCCTCTACAAGTTTTTAAAAATTTGTTATGATCAACAAAGTAATTATTTAAAGAATGAAGAATTGTGTATTTGACTTTTTCATGATCGAATATAGAAAGGTAGTGAATGACTC